TTTTTAAAAAACAGAATCTTGTACCCCAAAAAAGAGGGCACTGCTACAGAGAGATGGTGAGAGCACACATTATTTTTTGGATAGCGGTTTTTTTAAAGTACACTTTGCTGGTTTTTTTTCATTTTTCTTTTATTATTCATATGTGCATACAAGGCTTGGTTCATTTCTCCCCCCTGCCCCCACCCCCTCCCTTACCACCCACTCCACCCCCTCCCGCTCCCCCCCTCAATACCCAGCAGAAACTATTTTGCCCTTATCTCTAATTTTGTTGTAGAGAGAGTATAAGCAATAATAGGAAGGAACAAGGGGTTTTGCTGGTTGAGATAAGGATAGCTATACAGGGCATTGACTCACATTGATTTCCTGTGCGTGGGTGTTACCCTGTCTATTTATATATAGACATTTATTCATATATAATTGTTTATATATAAATATCATAACTGTTCACTAGCAAACCAGTTAAGTCAGTGCAGTGACAGCTCTCTTGATGTGAAATTCCACAGGCATTTTGCCATTTGATGAATCTATTATTATTTTATAGGTTTAAAAATGACAAGAGTGGCACTGTGAGAAATTCATAAATGTGTACAGTGTAGTCTGAACACATTCACCTCTTCCACTATATTCCCCTACCCCCCTTTCTATACCCCTTCCCAAATAGTGTTTGGTGTGACTTGCTATGCTATATCACACATATATAGGTAATTATACTTCAAACCTCTTCATCTCCCAGTACCATCTTTTATTCCCCCCCTCCCTCAATGATTCCATCCCCTCTCATGGTCCCCTTTTACATTCATGTTCCATTTTCATTATCATTATTGCTATTTTATACTTAGTTATTATTGTTGTTATTTTACACTTATTTTCCACATATGAGTAGAACATGCAGTGTTTGAATTTTTGAGCGTGGCTTGCTTCACTCAAAATGATGATCTCTAGATCTATTCATCTTCCTACAAATGGCATAATTTTGTTCTTCTTTATGGCTGAATAATACACACTATGAGAGAGAGAGAGAGAGAGAGAGAGAGAGAGAGAGAGAGAGAGTGTGTGTGTGTGTGTGTGTGTGTGTGTATCACACTTGCTTTATTCAATGATCAGTTTTTGGGCACCTGGCTGATTATACAGCTTGGCTATTATACATAGTGCAGCAATGAACATAGGGATGCAGATGTCTCTCTTGTATATTGATTTATACTCCTTCAGATACATGCCCAGGAGTGGTATGGCCAGGTCATATGTAGGTCTCTTTTTAGCTTATTGAGGATCCATACTGATTTCCACAGTGGTTGAACTAGTTTACACTCCCACCAATGAGTCAGGGTCCCTTTTTCTTCAAGTTCTTGCCAGCATTTATTGTTTTCTTGATGATTGCCAATCTGACAGGGAGATGAAATCTTACTATAGTTTTGATTTGCATTTCTTTTATGGTTAAGGATGTTGAGTATTTCTTTAGCTATTTCTTTTTCTTCTGAAAACTGTTCAATTAACAGGACCATTTAGTAACTTGATTATTTGGTGTTTTTGCTGTTTAGTTTTTTTTTTTAACTCTTTGTATATTCTGAGTATTAATCTTTTATCTGTTGAGTAGCTGGTGAAGATTTTCTCCCAGTCTGTGGGCTGTCTCTTGATTATGATAACTGTTTCTTTAGATGTGCAGAAACTTTTAAATTTGATACAGTCTCATTTGTTAATTTTTGCTCTTACTTCCTGGACAACTGGGAGTCCTATTCAGAAAATAATTATATATGCCTATATGTTCAGAGTTTTCCCTATGTTTTCTGTAATAATTTCAAAGTTTCAGGTCTTATGTTAAGATATTTGATCCAGCTGGAGTTGTTTTTTGTACCGGGTGGGAGACAGAGGCCTAGTTTCAGTCTTATGCATGTAGATAGACAGTTTTCACAGCATCATTTGTCAAAGAGGGTGCCTTTTCTTGACTGTGGTTTGTTTGTTTGTTTTTCTGAATTTTCTTTAGTCTTTTCCTTTGTATACAGAATGAAATTTACTTTGAACATTTTCACTATCTTCTTTTTTATATTTTGCACAGACTTGGTTTATCTATTTTCTTTGTGCGCAATTTCTAATTCCTTTGCATGCATCTTCTAATTCACTAATTCTTTCTTCAGTATTCTATACTAGGTTTTGACTTTATTTGATTTTTTTGGGGGGGTGGAACTGGGGAATTAAATTCAGGGCCTTGCACTTTATCACTTTAAGCTGTGTCTCCAGCCCTTTTTGGTTGGGTTACTTTTATCCTTGGCCTGTCCTAGACCTCAATCCTCCTCCTAACCCCTCATATTTTGAGCTGGGCCTTTGGAAGGTCATTAGGATTAGATAAGTCCATAGAGTGAAGTCGACATGACTGAATCTGAGTGACTCTGTAAGAAGAGAGAGTGGCCAGAAAAGCACACATAAGCACACTTCCTATTTTGCCGTATGATGCTCAGCACCATTTTGAAACTTTGCTGCAATTAGCCCATCACCAGATGTGACCCCTCAGATATGGACTTTAAAAACCATAGCCAAAGTAAATTTTTTTCCCTTATAACTGTTATAACTGTTGTGTTATTTGCAACAAAGAATGGACTAATAACGTTTGTAACAATTTTTACATGATCAACTTTAATTTAGATTTAGTCCATATTTACTTTTTAAAAAATAATTTGCTATTTCTGCCTGCATCTTAAAACTTTAATCTGAGATCATTTTCTTTTTGCCTTAATCCTTTAGTATTTCTTTTTCTGGTTATATATTTGATGTTTTTATCTGAAAATGTCTTTATTTCATCTAGGTTTTTAAATGATAAGTTAGACTGTAGGCAACTGTCTTCTAGCACTCTGAAGGTATTGCTCACTTCTGGTTTTACCTGTTTATCCTAAGAATTCAGCAGTTAGTCTATAGTTCCTTTGAAGATATCTTGCCTTCTTTTCTTCTCAGACATTTAAAATGTATGTGAAACCTGTTCAATATTTTCCATATATCTCTTAATTCTGTCTTTTGTATTTTCCATTCTTCTGCTTATGGAGATTTTCTTCTTACCTATCAATGTACTAATTATTTCCTTAGATTTTTTTTTTTCTTGTGCAGCTGGGGATTGAACCAAGGGCTTCATGCATGCTAGGCAAGTGCTCTGCCAATAAGCTAAATCATCAGCCTCTTTAGCTGTTTCTAAGATACTTTAAAAAACATTCATTTTTCCTTAATTTTGAACATTTTATTATTCAATTATTTTATTATTCAGTTCCAGAATTTTCATGTGGGTTAGTTTTTGTGTTATGATTCTTTGACAATATTTAAATGAACATGTTGAATATAGTTTGTTTTCATTAAACATTTAAAGATAATTGTAAAATCACATGCACAGGTAAGAAAGACCAGGCATATCCTTATTGTAGTTTCTCATGATGGTAAAATACAGAATCTTTACACTAATATACAGTCAAGATACATAACATTTCCATCATCTCATTTTGTTGTTTTATAGCCAGATCTGTTTTCTGTCCCACTCTACTGTTTTCCCTACCCTTAAGAACCACTTATCTCAAAATTTTTATAATTCTGTCATTTCAAGAATGTATATGGATGGTTCTTTTTTCTACCCTTTTGGCGGTGCTGGTGATTGAATCCCAGGGCCTGTACATGCTTGATAAGCAATCTACTACTGAGCTACACCTCCAGCCCCAGGAACCATATATATGTATATGTATATACATATACAGAGAGAGAGAGAGAGAGAGAGAGAGAGAGAGAGAGAAGGAGTTAAATTTTTAAGTGATAAAACATTTAGAAAAAAATAGAGACAAGTCTGAACAGACTTGAGGTCTTAAAAATGACATTAGGAAGTCAATATTTAGACATGATTTGCATGTTTTATGATTACTTTTTTCAATGAGGCTTGCATGTGGGGATGAACTCAAAAGAAGGAGCTGGTTTTTAGGAGAACATGAAGAACCCATTTTCTGATATTTCAGAGAACTGGTAAATATATGGAAAATAATACAGAGATTATGATAAAGATTTATGATTTTTTGGGAGTTATTTACATGGAAATAATAGTTGAAAGTAACAGTATAGTTATTTATATGCAGTAATTTCAATCAATAAAAGATAGATGTTTTTCTTACCAAGAAACAGCTCATCTGAAAATCTCTTCTATTGCTGTAAATAAGTGTAGGTTGGTTCTTGAGAACTTAAAAATCACCCTATTTTAACTAAAGGAGTAAAAGAATCATCCTATTTTAATTTGAACAGTTATTCTACAACACCAAATAGCTATTACAATAAAAAATTATAATTAGCAAAAGGACCTTTGTGAAATCTGCCAAGATTGCAAGTATATTCTTTAATCTACAGAAAATGTCAAAAGTAATATTATAGAAAATTTCTCCTACTCCTTGTTTCTCTGTATAAGCAATTAATTATCTGGGGAAATAGAAGCAACAACACATGCAGGGCTACTATATACTATAGAGATAGGAATGGTCATAATGGTTGTTTATGAAGGATATCTGTTCTAATCAGTTCAGTGTTTATACTACAGTAGTTGTGAAACACTCCAAAAGTAACTCCTAGTCATATAATATATTGACTAAATTACTCATTTAACATTTTAATATTTCAAAAGTTCTAAAGTATGGTTTACATATATTACTTTAGCATACAACAGCACATCTAAAAAAGAAGGAATCATTAGAGTCTCATGATTAATGCTGATTAACCTAAGATATAGTTGTTTCATACTTGTTACTTACATTAGCTAAAATATTTTTTGGATTAATAACTGTTACTTTTAATAAATATATCTTATCACTAAAAATCACTTCACTTACAGTATAACATAGTTACTTATTCATTCATTCATTTATTCATTCCTTTATTTAGTGGTTGCTGGGAATCAAACCCAGAGCCTTGAGCAGGCTAAGCTAGTTGTTTATCAACTGAGCTATATCCCCAGTCCCAACATAGTTATTTTTATGAATATAAAATCTTCATACCATTTGGTGATGCCATAACAATCTTTAATAATATCCTGAAGAACAGCACGATAGAAGAGTGATTCAGTAGGCAGCTGAAAAAAATGCAGACATATATAAACAAAATAAATTTTAAAAAAACCACAGAAATCAAGTTGACACTAGAGATGTGGGGCCATGGTGAATGTTATAAACCTGACATTACTGTCAAACATAGAGGAAGATTTTATAGTTTTTTTCCACTATAAGTTTAAGTATTAGACTAAATCTCACTGTGAAAGTAATTCTACAAGAAAACAGAAAAAAGCATAAAAGAAATAGTAGTGAATGAGGAAGAAAAGTCATAATCAATGAAAAATGAGCTGGTGCCCCCAAATGGAAAGCTTATCAGTTAAAAATGTAGAAATAAAAATTTAAGACTAGTCAGTCAGTCCTGAAGCCTATAAGAGTGAGGAACAATGTGTTAAAGAGAAGAGAATGTGGCCTTGTCCTAACAGAGGTGGAACAGAGATAGTATCAACTAGGATTCACACCCAGAAAGAGAAGACACTTCCTAATTGAGGAAATTCCAAAAAATATATGTGAGGCCTGAATGATTATAACACTAGCTATTGCAGAGTGGAGAAAGTAGAGCACTGTAAGAGCAGATTGAAAACAGCATGTCTAGGGGAAAGAGAGATGGAGGTGTCCCGTTAAAGTTCAATGGTTTTTGAAAGGAAAGAAGGAATGGCTGAAGAGAAGGACCTCAATGAAACATGATAATTTGAAAGAGGCAGAGTTTAAAAAAGAGGACTGTAGTATTTATCAAAGAAAAAGCACTTCAGTGAGGCAACAGAAGTGGTGCTCTTGAACCTACAAAAGTTACCAAAACCCCATCCAAGCCACCAATCTCTTAATAACACTGGAAAAACTGACACAAAATAATGTTAGCAATAACCAAGCTTTCATGCACAAACACTATTGAAAAAAAAAAGAATGAGCAAAGGTTAAAGGAGGTCAACAATAATGAAGAATGCTTTTGAGAAGTCAAATAAGTTGAAACTAACTACCCAATCAGAGATCTAGTTTTAAAGATCGAGTTCACTATGCATTTACTGAGTTAGCCTTTTGCAAGTTCTATTTTCCTTTGAAGTCCAAAATGGCTATTTTTAACTAGAATAAATATTTTTGAATTCAGATAGGAGTTGGCACAAAATAAATTTTGTGTGTATGCTTAGGCAGAAAATCTACTATATTACCCCCATTCAATATCAAGTTTCCACACTGTGATGCTGACACTACAAAGGATGGGAGATGAATGTTAACTGTTACTTCTTGGGTCTTTACCTGATGGCACTGACCACTGACTGATGTCACTGGGGAACATCTGATTTATAGCATCTTCGTATAGCACTTAATACAGCACTTTCTAAACACAAATTACATCTCCTCTAGAAGGTGGGAATATGGGGTAGGTTATTCCAGTAGGGACTGTTAGGAAATCACATTTCCCAAAACAATTCCAAAAATTACTCATTGAAATTAGACCCATTCACATAGTTGAGTACTTACACTAAAATGTATAATCATCAGAAAGCACAATTCCTATACAAAATCTTCTCAATTCCAACTCCTTCACCTTAGACAAAATTGACTAATTTGAAAATTTTTCTTCCTTTGAAAATGACACCAAAATATTCCATCTAGAATTGCTTACCTGCAGACATATTTTCCATTTGATATTTTTTCTCATTTGAGTATCACTTTTCTACAGTACCAAAAGCTCTACTTTATCATTTGCCCCTCAACTCCTTGAAAATTTCTTGTCTCACAAACATGCTGAAATGTATTTTATATATTAACACACAATCTTAAAATATTCTATTGAACTTTAAGGCATTTTGGTAAACCTACTATTATATGAAATGAAATGTTAGTAGTACAAATTGCTTACAATGTTTTTCACTTTTTGTTGGTTTAAATATAGTAGATAGGAACTTTCATTTTATATGAAACCCTTGAAATATTTAAAACTTCTCATGCTTTAGAGAAAATTATATAAAATGACATCAAGATAATTTATAAGTAAATATACGCTATTATCAAAGACTGTGAAACAACAAAAAATATTCAGAAAAGTAATTTTAGCAAGAGAATGTACTCTTGCTATGGAGTTCATAGGACAGAATAAAATCATCATTCCCAAGCTACGCTGAGCAAATAAGAGCTCTACAGCTGTTTCCTAAGAGAAAGGGAGAGAGGTTATGAAATGCCTTCAAATGCACATTCCTAGAATAACTAGACTCTCCACCCTGGCAAATACGGATGGGGGTGAGCGAGAAATGAATCACATTTCCTAGCAGCCCGTGCCTGACTAAATAAACTGGATATGGTTCAGTGTTTACTTTCTGTCCCTCACAAGTGACAAATCTACTTAACACTTCTAATACATTCTAAAAAATGGGAGGAAACAGGAAGTATACACACTTAATGCATACATATTAGGCATGTACTTTACAGGTCAAGTGGAAAGGGCACTGAACTGGAAGTTAGGGCTCTGTAATTAATTAAGGGAGCTAGAACACACTATTAAATTTTTATTGTTTGTATATTCTATGTTAGTGTAGTACGAAATCCACCTCAGAAGACTAAGTGGATGCATGAGCAAAGACTTGGAAAATTAAAAAAAAATTAAAAATACCCCTCATTAGGGTGTTGATAAAAGCTCTCTTTTCCTAGACCCCTAGAGAACAACTAAGGTGTTATGTAGTACAGTATGTAGAATAGTAAAGCAGGGTGACAAACAGCCTACATACGTGAACAATAAATTCTACTGCATTCAAAAGCATCAGCTTTTAATTTGTAGATGGGTACAATTGCTACACAAAGTACTTACCAATGTTTCTGGCTGAGAGTAAGTACTCAGTAAATGGCATTTATTATTACTCTTATTATTCTTAAATTATATTTTAAAATTTGAATTGACATTATTAATGCCAACAAGACAAAACAAAAGAAAACAAAACAAAACAAAACAAAAACAAAACAAAAGAAAGCTTTCTAAAACTAGGTTCAGTATGAATTACCTTGTGTAAAGCTTTTTAAAGCTCCCTCTCTCTCAAAAAAAAAGCTCTACCTGGACATGATGGATCATGCCTGTAATGCCAGGTACTCTACAGGCAGAGGCAGGAGGATTTTTCTAACAGGTTAGGTAGTGTTAGTAACACTGTATCTCAAAAACAAAATGAAAACAAAAGGCCTAAGGTAGCATGGCTTGAGAAGATAGAGTGTTGCCTAGCAAGCCTGAGGTCCTGGATTCAATCCCCAGAACTGGAGGCAGGGCAGGGGAGGGGAGAGGATCCTTAGTGTGCTTCATGAATTTATAGTAGAAGACAAGCAGAACTGTATGGATATCTTGGGGCTAGAGTAAATTTTTGTTTTCACACCTGCCAATGCATTTGGTGTCACAACAAATACTAATCAAGTAAATAAAAAAGTTATCAATCGATATATGTTGCAGGTTAGAGTTAAATATTACACTGAATGTTATACCTTGTTTACCTTTGTTTGAACTAAGCTCATAAAAGCCTGGTAGTAAGCAACAACATGCTTTAGAATTAGTTATAGACTGTTTAGAGGTTAATGTGGAAACATTCCAAAAAGCTCAATTTACTTTCTGAAAGTTCACTTCGATTTTAAAGTACACATATAGAACATGTATAGATTAGCAGTGGTGACAACTAAAGGTGATATTTGTTAAACTCTATCAGGTTTTAAGTTCACAAGCAGGTCAAGTTGAAGAGGGCTTGAGAAAATCTATCTGTTCATTAACTGGATGAAACACTCACTTACCCCTTGGCCAACTGCAACCCGCTCCAATGCCTTTAAGGAGAAAAAACAAAACAAAGATTGCTGATATATTTAGTCTTATCGCATAAGATTTATAAGCATATTCCACAAGGATTTGTAAAAGTGACATTTAAATGATTAAGTGATAACATGTAAGTTTATACAACTAAAACTGTCAATATCATTCAAGAATGTTAACCATTATGCTTTATAAGTTAGGGATAATTCATAATGGATATGTGTCATATACAGAAACACACACACTCCTATTACATTCACTCTTGGATTGCAGAAGGAATTAGAAAACAGGAAAGAAGTGAAATAACACAGACTGACTCATGTTTAGTGTAGCTAATCAAATAAATCCAAAACTATTATGTATACATGCAGGCATACAGATATTTGCATGCTTCATTTCAATAAATTTCTTATAACTTACAATGAAAATATAATTTTACCTTATTTTTGTTTTTTCAGTACTGGGGATCAAACTCAAGGCTTTGTGCATGCTGGACAGATGCCCCACCAGTAAGCTACATTCCCACCCCTAATTTCAGCTTTGAACAAATAAAAATGAAAAGATTACAGTTGAAAGCTTATTAAAAAAATTTTTTTTGGAAGTCCTGGGACTAGAAATCAGAGCTTCATGTTTGCTAGACAAGCATTCTACTACTTGAATCACATGTCCAATCCTTTTTTGCTTTGATCTATTTTTCAAGAGTCTTGTGCTTTTATTTGGGCTGGTCTTAGACTGCAATCGTCCTACCGCCACCTCATGAGTATCTGGGATTACAGCTGTTCACCACTGAGTCCAGCTTATTTTTTGATACAGGGTCTTGCTGACTTTTTTGCCCAGCTGGCCTTGAACCGCAATCCTCCCACTTTCCACCTCTCAAGTAGCTGAGGTTACAGATACACATCACACCATCCCTAGCCTCGGTTTGCAAGTATTCTATGGAGAAGTTTTGCATCTATGCCTACAGATGTAAGGAAACTGGTCTAATTTTCTTTGTGTGTGTGTGTATGTGTGTATATCTGGTTTGGATACTGGGTAATATGGTCTTCATAAATGAGTTCAGTAGCATTCCTTCCCTTTTTATTTTATGGAATAGTTTGAGGAACACTGCTATTAATTCTTCTTTGAAGGTCTGATAGAATTTAGCAGTGAATCTGTCCAGCCCTGGGCTTTTCTTTTCTGGGAGATTGTTTATTACTACTCCACCCTGATTGCTTGTTATAGATCTGTTTAAGTGGTTAATAGTCTCTCGGTTCAATTTTGGTAGGTCATAGGAGTCTAGAAACTTATTCATTTCTTCTAGATTGAGTTTATTAGAACATAGTTTTTCAAAATATTCCCTAAAGATTCAGTATGCATTTCCTGAGATATCCCTTTAGTTATCTCTTATTTTATTATTTTGGTGATTCCTCTCTTACTTTTGGTTAGTCTGGCTAAGGGAGTGTCAATATTGTTAATTTTTTCAAAGAACCAACTTTTTGTTTGACTCATTCTTTGTACTGTTTTTATAGTCTCCAGTTCTTTAATTCTGCCCTATGATTTATTTCTATCTTCTGCTTTGGATTTTGCTCATTCATGTTTTTCTGAGGCTGGGGTATGTCACTAGGTAAACTTTCCCATTACTGCTGCCTTTCTTGTGTCCCAAAGGTTCTAGTAAGTTGTGTTCTCATTTTCACTTGAATCTAGGAATTTTTAATTTCCCCCCTATTTTTTTGGTGATCCACTGATCATTTAATAATGTATTGTTTGCTGCCCCATCTTCGGATATTTTCTGTAATTTTTTGTTGTTGATTTCTAGTTTTATTCCATTGTGATCTGATAAAATACATGAGGTTATTTCAATTTTCTTATTTTTATTAACACTTCCTTTATGTTCTAAAGTAAGATTTTTTTGGTACAAAGTTCAGTGGTCTGCTAGAAGAATGTGTATTCTATGGCTAGTGGGTGGAATATTCTGCTAAGTCTACTTGATCTACAGTGTTAATTCTGAAGTTTCTTTATTGATTTTTTTGGTCGGGATGTCTTATATATTGGAGAGAATGACATGCTGGTCACCCATTATTATTGTGTTGGGGTCTATCTGTGCTTTTATATCCAGTAGTGTTTGTTTTATTAAATTGGGTGTGTCAATGTTCAGTCAATGTATGCTATAATTTTTATATCCTCTTGATAGGACAGTATCAATATGAAATGAGTTTTGTCTCTTCAAACTAATTTTTGTTTGAAGTCTGCATTGTCTGAGATGAGTACAGCAATTCCTGCTTGCTTTTGTTCTCCATTTTCTTGGAATACCTTTTTCCATCCTTTCATTTTAAACCTGTTTGTCTCTGCTAGCAAGGTGCATTTCTTATAAGGCAATAAACGGATAGAGATTGTGTTTTAATCCAATCTGCCAGTCTGTTTTTTTGATCAGAGAAATGAGATCATTAATATTCAAAGTTATTATTGAAAAATATGTAGTAATTCCTGGCATTTTGTTGTTTTTGTAATGCTGGATTTCCTAATCCTCACTTGCTTATATGCTTTTTTGGTGAAATTTATTCTTTTTGTATTTTCACGGTTGTGTTTCTTTTTCTCTTCTGTGAAAAGGATATTCTTGAAATACCTTCTGCAGTAATGATTTAGTGTTCGTGAATTGCTTTTGTTTTTGTTTATCAGGAAAGGTTTTATTTCTCCTTCAATTATTAAGGGTATCTTTGCTGGATACAGTAATCTAAGTTGTCAGTTATCTTCTTTCAGGGCTTGAAATACATCATTCCTTTCTTTTAGAATTTCTGTTGAGAAGTCTGCTGTTATTCTGATAGGTTTGCCTTGATATATGACTTAGTGCTTCTTCCTTTCAGCTCTTAATATCCTTTCCTTGTTCTGTACACTCAATGTTTAACTATATACACTGTGGAGAGATTCTTTCTTGGTATTGTCTGCTTGGTGTTTTAAAAGCCTCCTGTACTTGGATGTCAATTTCTTTTCCAAGACTTGGGAAATTTTATACTATTTTATTGCATATGTTTTCTTTGCCTTTATCTTCCACCTTTTCACTTCCTTCTATGCCCATGATTCATATGTTTGGTCTTCTAATGGTGTCCCAGATATCTTTCATGTTCTATTCATATTTTCTTACTTTGGTTGCTTTATTATTTGTCTTAATTTTCTAATTCATCTATCTTGTCTTCAATACCTAATAATTTGACTTCAACTTTATCCAGTCTGTTTGCAAGGCTTTCACTGAGATTTTAAATTTTACTTATTGAGCTTTTCATTTCCAGAACATCAACTGGTTTTTTCAGCATTTCTATATCTTTACTGAATTCCTCTTTCATATTCTGTATTATCTTCCTTATTTAATTTAGCTGTTTATTAGCATTCTCTTGGAATTCATTTGAGTCCTCTTTAATTTCATTGATCAATTTTATAATGATTCTTTGTCTGAGATTTCATCCACTTCACTATCATGAGTAGCTCATTATTGTAGAATTGTTGACTTTTGGATGAGCCATGTTCCTTTGTTTTTTCAGAGTTCCTGTGTTTCTGAACAGAATTTGCACAACTGAAGCCACGTCACTGGTGGAGGTTTTAGCCACCTGTAGTCTTTCAGGTGAAGTATTCTAATGTTCAGGAAGGACTGTGTAATGGCGGGCTGATTTGCAGTTTCTCCATTGGACTGTGGGTGTAGCTCAGTAGCCAAGCATTCACCCTTGTGGTCAGGGCAGTGGGCTTGTTTCCCAGCGCCACAAAGAGGAAAACTAGTTAAGAGTCTCTTGTATTTACTAGTGTATTGGTTGGGGCTGTATATGGCCTCAGGGTGGGGCCACTCTAGGGTCAGTTGTCTGCTTCAGCGCTGCTTTCACTTTAGAAGCTTCCCTTCTTTGTGTACTAGGAGCCAAAGTTGGAAAAGTAAGTTTAATTTTTGCAGATGTACAAGGTCACTGACAAGGCCAATAACCTGCCTCTATTGTTACAGATAATTAGTAACAGAGTAGGAACTAAAAACTTTTCCCATGAATGTGGTTTATTTCTAATACCCTTGTGCGTTGTAGATAAAGTGGGAAAACCAGAATTCATTGTATTTAAATGTGTTTCCTAGAAATTGTTGTAAGAATTACAGAATAAATACAATTTAAGAATATCTTCAATGTACTTGAAATTTGCTTGAAGAATACTTTCATTGACTATCAAGTGCCAAAGAGTATGTCAAGGACACAGGAAATAATTATTACATAAATTTCATATGAAATCAAACAGCAACCAACTCACAATAAATTAATAAATTGAAGATAAGAATGTGTTTTCATTTATGGTACTCACAGTGCTAATTTCAGATAAGATTTATGTTATGAATTCTTCTACAAGTTAAACTAAATGAAGAAATAAAAAATAATTTTTATAAGAAAATTATTTAATGTTAATAATAATATCATGTAATGGTAGACTACCTTTATATGGGGTGCTGATAAGTTTATTTTTTAATTTTCATCAAGTATCTTATTTTATGCTTTTATATTTTTTCCTTTATTCTTGTGCTACATGGGTGTACATTGTGGCATTTATAAAGGTTCTTATAATGTATCAAATTGATTACAAATTGATCAGTTTAGTTCAAAAATATAAATAATAAATTTTGATTACATAATAAAGGATAACAAGGTCAATGATAAGAAGTTTCTAGCTAACATTAGTACTGTTCTTGGGCAATAAACAAAGATTAGAAAAATGCACTAAGTGTTCCTTTCATACTAATCTACAATATTTTTAGTTTTATCAGGTTTAAAGTACGCTGACGAGGTTTCCCTAATTTAACTAAAATTTTATTTCTGGCTGATGTTCTTAAATATTTATCTGAAATTTATCTCTGAAGAGTATTTTTCTTTTTTTTAATCCTTTATGCTTTAAACACTTTTGGAAAAGGTCAGTTACAGAGCAAAAGGCAATAACACAAGATGAACCAAAAGAAATGTTTCTTAGACTTACCAAAATTACTTTAGAATTTAAAAAAAAAGAAAGAAAGAAAGGAAAGAATTTGAGGTGAGCAAGGGTTGGGATATTGCTAAGGAGGGAGGCATTCCAATAAAGGTGAGAATGACTATGAGATCTTGGAGTAATATAGTCTTTAAATTTTATATTTATGTGATTTAATTTTCAAAAAAATTTTTGGCTTGTTAAATGCTCACTTTATAGCACTTATACCTGTTTTATGGATATCATACATTCTTTTGTATTTCTAAGGGATATTAATAATTATTTTATGCTACTTTGGGTAGTCTCTAGTTCCTCAAAGTTTTTCCTTTTTATAAAAACATCCCCTCTACTTTTTAATGTTGGACTTTCTTTAAACATCTAATGATTCTTGGCAGTTTGTTGGTCATTAAAATGGGTGTAACATCAACCTTATTACAAACACTGTGTTTATGAGTGAGAACTACTAATTAAGAGCTTCACCACAGAGGAACAGATATACCCTGTTTAATTGTGAAATCCTGATGCAAGTATCTTTAAGTATGTTCTCTTAGGATACTCAAATTCTGTAGAAAACGCTACTTCAATTTCTTACCTGCCTGGCTATCATTCTAAGAATGACTGTCATTCCAACAAAATTCTGAACAAGTTTTATTTATATACAGAATAGAATGTAGAAGACACATTTCCAGAGGAGTGTTTTAAGTAAGACGATGTAAGGGAAATGTTATTTTAGCATAAAAATATTTCTAAGTTATTTCCAAGATATATGAACTCTGCAAATTACATAGCAATGTAAAAAATAGTATGCCAGTGGCAAAGAAATAATGGACCTTTAAAGAATTCATTTATTGTGTGATTGGACAATTTATTCAACTACAGTTTATTAAAAATTTTAATGTGTGAATTTAAGGTATCCAATATAATGACTTTTTATACTATACATAGTGAAATGATTAATACAGGTAAGCAATTTAACATAACTGTTGTCTCACACAGTTTTTGTGTATATGGTAAGAGTACCTAAAATCTACTCTCAGAAAATGCCCAGTATATAACACAATAGTACAAACTATAGTCCTGATGCTGTAATTCAGATCTCTGTATCTACTTATCCTATATAACTGGAACATTTTAAATTTCTGATAACAAAATACCCATTACAGTTTTTCACATGTTCCTCCTTTGTAAACCAAAATAATACATGAGCAAAGCTTGGACTAGTGTTCTAGGTGTGAGGACACTAGTCAAATCAAGCACAATGATGTTTTATTTAACTAAATGATGATTACTTTCTATCCCAGGTAGCTTAATATTGTTTCATTCTATTAAAAATTAAGAGACAAATAAATTACTTCTGCAAAATAACACAAAGACACTGTAAAGCTATGTATAAAGTAATCTGACTCTGTGTTTAAGATTTTGTAGTTGGTACACATTATATAATAATTAACATAATTACATGTAAACATTTACTATGACACTACATGTACAGTGTATAATGTTTGAATAGAAATCTGCACTATACAAAAACATTAATGATGATGCTCTGTGAAATTTGGAATTTAACATATATTAGCCAAATATCAAACTGTGCAACATCTGGTTAAAGCTCTTACTCTAGGAAAATAATTTTACTGTACCAAACATGCTGACATTCTGGCGTTACGTCCACAGCACCATCTCTCTTCCTTTAAATATTGGCACATTGGAAATCCCCACTTTTCTTGAGTACATTCTGCAGATGGAGGAAAATATGGATTATTTAAAGAAATTCTTCCTCTTTCAGTTAAAGTAAATAATCTAATGAGAAAGTAAATCAGTCATTGAGAAAGTCAAACAGTAGTTAAGCATGGAAGTGGTAATGTTTAATAGTTCATTCCAGTTTGTTAATTGAAAGCATATTAATATTATGAAATTGGTATTTGTTCAACAACAGCTGCTTTGTATTTTAAGCCCCAAGTCTGATACCAACCAATTTGCCAAAACCATTTCTCTAAGATTTAGCAAGCATTATTTAAAGTGAAATACACGTCACATTTGGTGTAATTTTAGGAGGTTGGTAATGAGATACCAGGCATTTACTGCTGACTTGGCCTTGTTTAAAAAAAAATGACATACTTTAAAATATAATATTTGGCACTTTATTACAGGACAGTATGAATTTATTCCTAACAATATTGAGGCATCATTTTTTTTTTTTTGCCACTGTGAACACTTTTCAGAAAAAGAACAGCTGTACAGGCTCTTATTTCTTCATTGTTTTAAGAGGCTGCACTCCAGTTTGGCTCAACTGCACATATGATTCAAGGAATGACAACAAAAATCAACATTATCTACTGCCCAACTCACTGACAGAACTACATATGTAACTTGATGTTCTAGTGCTTCAAATAGACTGTTAGTTTCATGAGGTCTTTCAAAAAGAAATGAAAAAAAAATTTATTTTAAATTAAAACCTGGGAAATAGATTTCAATATTCTAACAACTGTGACAACTAAATGAAAATAGAAATAAATATAAATTTAATTTTCTACTAGGTTATAAAATAAAATAGAACTTCAAACCTGAGAACAAAATGAACAAAAAAATCTTTAAAAGAAAATGCAACTGAGGAAGATTCTATGAAATAAATTTCTACATTATAAAGGATCAAATGATTTTTGGGGGAGTGGTATTAAAGTTTGGATTCAAGGCCTTGTGTTTGTTAGGTAAGTGCTCTTCTATTTTAGCCACACCTCCAGCCTACCATACGCTTTTTAATTAAAAGAGAGGAAGTTTAAATTTCATGCAGATCATAAATGTGTGAAAGAGGTTTCTCTCAGCTATTAAATTAAAATTTATAAAATATCCTATTGAGAATCAGATTGATAATTGTATTATTTCTTCACCCCCCCAAATCAGAATAAATAATAATGGTAGTTTTTATATAGTATTGAATATTGTGAAACAATATTGTAGTGCTTTATATGTATTAATTTGCTTTAGTTCCTAAAGTAACTATAGAACTATGTATACTATTATTCCCAGAAAGGGAAACTGAGCATAGGCAGGTTATAGAAACTGCCCGATTTACAAACCTAGTATGTGGCAGACTGAGAATTTAAACTCTGGCAGTCTGACTCCAAAACCCATGTCCTTAACCATCAAGCTATAAAAATGTACATTTAAGAACAATTCCACCTGCAATTGCATAGGTCTCACAGAGTCTTCGAAGCCTATCCAGGCTGTGGGGTTCTCTGGTTTATTTATGTTCTTGAATGTTTTAGGATTTAATGGAAACATGCTTATTACTAACCAAAAGGATTGCTATAGGCAGATCTTACTGCAAAGAGTAAGGAGCTAGAGACAGACTGTGTGTTATTTTATTCTTAGTGGCTAGAAAAAAGTTAGTTTCCCATCCCCATCTCCTTGTTCCTTGTAATAACAGAGCATTCAACATCCCCTACACAGCTACTAGAGTAGCTACAGAAATAGGGTTTGACCGACTGGATGTGGGCAGAAGTGATATGTGCAAATCTGAGGTCCTATGTTTAAAGGTGGGAGGGCATGCTCCTTTTCTTATACTCCCCACTCCCTTATTTCATTCCTCTGTCTGAGTGTGATCATAGTGGTAGGCCAAACTATGACCATGTAAACAAAAGCACCAGAGGACAAAACAACAAAATAGAAGAATCTGGGTTCTTGGGAGGTGTTTTTTAGTAGACAGCTCCCATAGTAGCTTTAATTGTCTACCTCTAGATGAAACTTAAATATCCATCTCTCTTGTTTAAATCACTATTACTTTGGTTCTGAACCTATCATGCTCCCCAACTTTTTATAACTTAGCACTCTTAGAATCTGGAAAATTTTATACATTATACTGGAATAAACAGATGAGGATCATTTTATTCAAAGGTAAAACCTAGGCAATGAAGGAAACAATGTATCCATCAAGCATTTAGGGTACAGTAATTGAATAGTCCTGTTCTAATTAATGTAAAGATCCTTTTTAAGAATGTGATGTTTGAACAGAGACTTAAATCAAATGAGGAAGCAAGCCATGAGAATACAGTCAACCCCTGTATTCCTGCATTCCACATCCATAGATTCAACCAACCATGGAACTGAAAATATTTCTTAAAAAACTGAGTCTGTACTGAACATGTAAAGACTATACTTTTCATGTCATTATTCCATAAACAATACTGTATGAAAACTACTTATATAACATTTACATTGTATTAGGTATTATAAGTAATCCAGATGATTCAAAGTATAGGCTATACTCAAATATTATGCTATTGTATATAAAGTACTTGAGCACCGGTAGCTCTGAGTAGTTCTGTAGCTAATCTCCTGCAGAAACCAAGGAACGACTGTATTAAGCGATGATATAATGAAACAAGAAACAAAACAAAACAAAAAACAACAAAAAACCCCCCTATAGTTTCAATGAGACATATTTAAAACATGGAAAACTATCTTATAATTTCAGTGTAAATGACTAGCAATTTCCTAACCTCTTCTCATATCCCAACCAACCAAATAGCTACAAAGAAAGAAACACACAAACAAGCTTGAAAATTAGAAAAAGGAGATGAAAGTCAACTTATTGCAGAACATGAAACAAATCTCACTTTAAAAAAACAACCAAAAGTGGATTTATAATGAAAATGTAAATAGTGGACCTCAACTGCTCTGGAATTCACCTTAGGCTGGGAAGAAAAAAGCATGTCTACTTGCCTGAAAATAGGTAGAGAAATCCTCCTCGAGTGATAACCTAAAGAAAACTTGAACTGAAAAAAAATTACTCAACATTAGATTGAAAAAGAGTACAGAATTTCTGAAAAATCCATTACATTGGAAGGGGTATATCATTTCCAGGGGAAAAATATCTAAAATAAGAAACCCATAGCCAAATTTTTCCCAAATTCTTGACCCACAGAAACTCTGAAAGATATTAAATAATTATTGTATCTACAAGCCATTCAATTTCAGGGGTAATTTCCTACACAGTTTTAGATTTAAAAAATGCAGTCTAGAAATAGCAATGAGTGTGAGATTACCCCATACGAGAGATGTGAGACAGAAAAATCCACTGCTTAAAGGATATGGGAAGTATGATTCTTTGGAGAAGAGACAGACTTTGATTATGCAAGAAAATAAAGTACCTTTCAGAGAAGATGTTAAAAGATACAGTCGTTTTGTGATGACTGACAGAATTTGAGAAGCATTTTGGAATCAGGGAGAATATAAGACACAGTCAAAACAAAGTGCACATGGAGACTCATTTGATTAGGGCCCTGGAAATGAGATGAGCTGGGTGATATGGGTTGGTGGCTGGCATGTATGGAGATAAAAGGCATGATGAGATTATTCTTTAAAGTCCCTAGACAGACAGTAGTGAAACTATGAGTTTTGTGGTAGTGTGAAGAAAGGGGAGGGAATTTTTCCAACTTTTTCCAAGAGTTCAGCAAGTCTCAACTAACTTCTGGTGATAAAGGGGATGCATATGCAGAGACATATGGCATCACTGTTTCCAGATAACACAGCAGGGAAGCCAGCAGGGGAGCAGTCACTCATGGAGCACAGTGGTCTATCATTGGAGAAATAGAAGTGAGCAAAGGATGGTTTCATTTCATGTATGTACCATGATTTGTGCAGATGAAGGTGATGAAACTACAGGAGGGTTATCCTTTTCCTTAGAGCTTATAAAGCTACCATGCACTGCCACAATGAAGGCTAAAGGAAGGGTACTCTCAAAGGAGAGTACCCAAGCTGAAGAGCCCTCTTAAGGACTACATAACGAAGTGTGAAAGATAGGACAGTCTTACTCCTTAAATATAAGAAAAGTATGTTGAACACAGCATATAGTTGGTCCTTTTCTTTTCTTTTAAGCCATTCAGCCCCTCTAGCTAAGTAAGGACTTACTACTGCTTTCTCATTCTTCAACTGCATGCTTAAATGTTATCTCAACAAATAAGGCCTTTCCTGGCCATCCTATATAAAATGTCTTTTATGTCCCTGCTGTATGACAATTTTATTTTTCTGTACAGCACTTATCACCCTCATATATATTTATATAATACCATCTGTTATGTAAATGTATCATATACATTTATAAATGCATTTTTATATAATTTGTTAATATATCACATATATAATTTACCTATAAATCATATATTATATATTTACATATATAAATGTATCATGTAAATATATATCCTCTCTCTATATTAGATGATATATAAATATACATGTATATTTGCTTATTACTCTGCTGTCTCTACCCACTAGCACTTACTTTATTTATTTATTTTTTTTCATTTTTCTTTTATTATTCATATGTGCATACAGGGCTTGGTTCATTTCTCCCCCCTGCCCCCACCCCCTCCCTTACCACCCACTCCACCCCCTCCCGTTCCCCCCCCTCAATACCCAGCAGAAACTATTTTGCCCTTATTTCTAATTTTGTTGTAGAGAGAGTATAAGCAATAATAGGAAGGAACAAGGGGTTTTGCTGGTTGAGATAAGGATAACTATACAGGGCATTGACTCACATTGATTTCCTGTGCGTGGGTGTTACCTTCTAGGTTAATTCTTTTTGATCTAACCTTTTCTCTAGTTCCTGGTCCCCTTTTCCTATTGGCCTCAGTTGCTTTAAGGTATCTGCTTTAGTTTCTCTGCATTAAGGGCAACAAATGCTAGCTAGTTTTTTAGGTGTCTTACCTATCCTCACCCCTCCCTTGTGTGCTC